AGAGGATAATTTTCGAATAAATTTGTTCAAGAATTTACATTTATTTCGATATATTTACTTATAATGGAAATCGGCATTTGTTTTCGAATCAATTAAACATGAATTCAATGGATTCCCCGTTAAAATAGTATTCTAAAAAGAACGGTAACAAATAAGGGAATAATGTGTCGCTTTAATGGCACCACAGTCTAACAATTTCAGTGTTTTAATTAGCCTTTGCTACATCGGAGCAATTACGCCGATTAACGGGAAGATACACAACTGGAGCGAGAATTTTTATACCAACGATCAGGATTTATGGGCTAATGAAATTTTTTTTTTAAAGTGGAGAAATATAAACAGGTATTTATTTGTAATAAAATATATAATAAATATGATTGATATTTTCATGTATTAAGTAAAGTCTGTTTTTATTAAAATAGAAAAAAGAATTACTGATATATTATTGTAATATGTTAATTAAAAAATATTATCTAAGTATTAGCATATTTTTAAATACCAAATACATAATTACATTTTTAAAACACACATTAACGAATGTTTTATTCTATAATATATTGAGTAACTATGATTCTTAAATACATGCTAAGTAAATATAGATGTTTGAAGTCAGACATAGTAACACTGATTAATAAAATTCTTTTCTATCTTAATAGAATAGAGTTAACACATTCAACAACTAATTCTCTAAATTCATTTCAATATAATATCTTCTTTACTTTAATTAATTAGTTGATACTTTGTTATTCTTTTTTTCTAACAACCAAAACGAATCCGAATCCCTCAACGATTCACGATAAAAGTGCATTAATTCATCCAACTTAAATTTCTAACTTGTATAATTTTCATATTTTCATTCACGTCTCGAGAAAGAAATAAATAAAACAACAACAAATAAGAGCAATCGAATCGGTTTAATCCAAAGGTTGAAAAAAATCGGTTTGATCCACTTCAAAGCCGAGCATTCCAATTTACACGTAGCGTAGAATCGACGCGCGGAACAACGAACTCGGCCGAACAAACGAAGAGGAAGAGGCCGGGTTAAGAAGCGAGCGCTGCAACGGGCGAGCAAGAGCAAAAGGGTTGGAACTCTCGGCTAGTATGGCGAGAATCTCTCCGCCATAAAGATTCGTATCGCTCTGGAAACGTCGAGCTGCTCCTCTTCTCCCTGCATCCCTCCTCTCCCTTTCACCCGTCCATCTTCCTCGTCCCTCTTCCTCGATCATCCC